AGAAAATAGAGAAGAAACACCACTCTACATTGTGATTTCAAGCTGAGCTGAATGGCACCACAGTGAAACTAGGCTGCTTCTTGTAACACAAAGAAGTGTTGCAAATGATGGGGAAGATTTTGGGTCCTCTCCACTCTTTGTGATGTTACTGTATTGTGACTCCATTAGTATCTTTCGTTGCTGAAAGTCTGGAATTGGACTTGAAAAACTTTGGAATTAGAATTGGAAAACATTCCCAAAACATTTTTTACAAATCACTTTATTTTGAACTAGAGAAACTGGAATCCAGGGAGGCAGAGCTCCTTATGTGAAGGCATGCCATGTTTCAGAAAGAGCTACCTACAGTTAAGATGGCAGTCACAACTTCATGATCAAAGCCACACCTGTTTTTTTTAATCGATTGCACTAGCAATGCATATTAAAAAGGGGGCAAAACTTCAAACACACAATTGTCGATCACCATTTTGACTTTTATCACTCCACTGCAGATGGCCCTAGTTTTGGAGTCATACTCAAGATCTTTATTGGTTGTCAGCTCAGGACTTACACCCAATTCCCAGCAACTTGCAGTCTTGAATCCATACAAAACAACACCTTTCATAAACCCACCTCCCTCCCTCCTTCCAAGATGAGGCTAATTCTTCAGGTCTCCCTCAGTCTCGCTCACAGATTGCTAGATTCCATCCTTCTTAATAAGATTGTGTGTTCTCCCTCTGTTACTAAAGTCTGTGGCACTGCAAAAAACAACTGGTAACTTTGAACTGTCAATGGAGCAGCTGCTATATTTGGAATCAAGAAGAATCTTTTCCCCATAGGCCATTTGGGCCATTGATGATGGGAATTTTATTTTCCTCTGCTCTGCTATGGGACCTGATTTGCCCCCATGAGTCACTATCCTCTAGGCATCTGCCATGTCCAACATCTGTTCAGTAGATTGCATGGTAGCACTAGGTATTACACAGATGTTGTAGACCTTCTAGAACTCCTTCTTGTGAAGAGAACAAGCAGGGCACAACTATGACTTTTCCCTCACAGCCAGGTTGTACTACATATTTTCTTCCTTTTAACACTACAGATGGCTTCTGTCCTTCCATCTACTACCAGGTAGTCCTTGACTTACAACCACATTGAGCCCAAAATTTATGTTGCTAAGTGAGACATTTGTTAAGTGAGTTTTGGCCCATTTTACGACCTTTCTTGCCATAGTTGTTAAGTGAATTGCTGCAGTTGTTAAATTAGTAACATGACTGCTAAGTGAATCTGGCCTCCCCATAGACTTTGCTTGTCAGAAGTTTGCAAAAGGTGATCACATGTCCCCAGGATACTGCAGCCGTCATAAATATGAGTCAATTGCCAAAGGTCTGAATTTTGATCACGTGACCATAGGGATACTGTAATGGTCGTTTGAAAAATAGCAATATCACTTAGACTTATATATCGCTTCACAGTCTGGGTTCTCATTTTACTGAGCTCGGAAGGATGGAAGGCTGAGTCAACCTTGAGCCGGTGAGACTTGAACTGCCAAACTGCTGGCAGCTGGCAGTCAGCAGAAGTAGCCTGCAGTACTGCATTCTAACCACTGCGCCATCACGAGTGGTCATAAGTCACTTTTTTCAGTACCGTGTAACTTTGAACGATCACTAAATGAACTGTTGTAAATCAAGGACTACCTGTAATTGTATTCTCACAATTAATTACCACATGTATCACAACCTCAGCCTATCTATTGATGCTGTCTGTCTAGCAAGCTGTTATAGTCACCTGGACCGGGGAGCTATACTCTGGTCATTAACTTCATATTTACTGCCAACAAGGAAAGGAATAATTAATTTTCAGCTTACTAACTCACCTTTCTAACAACCTCCCTTACTAATCCTTACTCAGTACCCATATGGGAAACAAGGCATTTGGCAGTTACAGTTGTGGCTTAGTTGCCCTTTGCAATAATAATCAAAACAAGGGAAGCCAAACTGGAGAAAAAAGGATGGATAACAGCCTGGTAACATGACTTTTCCATCTAAATTAGGTATATATTTATGCATTTTGGTTACTTGATAATTAATTTCAACTCAGTTTGTTTAAAGTATTTAAAGGCTGCCTTGCTCTTATTATTACTATGGTTGTTCACAAAGTCAGCCAGACTGGATTTGATATTTTGGATGTTTGATGGTGCTACAGCTGTTCCAAGTGAAGCTGCCTTTTGCAATTGACAGATGACAATTTGGTCAATGACAATAGCATTCAAGTGGTGCTCCAGTTGTTCTGGGATTGTTTATTATATAGTGTAATAATATAATATACAATTACTATCAATGTTATATTATTTAAAACAAATTATTATTATTATTATTATTATTATTATTATTATTATTATATTATTATTATTATTATTATTATTATTATTATTATTATTATTATTATTATTATTATTATTATTATTGAGTTGGAAGGGACTTCAGAGGTCTTCTAGTCTAGTGCAACCCTTTGCTCAGGCAGGATACCCTATACCATTTCAGACAAATGGCTGTCCAGTCCCTTCTTAAAAGCATCCAATGTTGGAGCATTCACAACTTCTGGAGGCAGGTTGTTCCACTGATCAATTGTTCTAACTGTCAGGAAGTTTCTCCTTAGTTCTAGGTTGCTTCTCTCCTTGATTAGTTTCCATCTGTTGCTTCTTGTCCTGCCTTCAGGCGCCTTGGAAAATAGCTTGACTCCCTCTTCTTTATGGTAACCCTTGAGATATTGAAACAGTGTTATCATGTCACCCCTCGTCCTTCTCTTCATTAAATTAGACATACCCAATTCCAGCAATCGTTCCTTATATGTTTTAGCCTCCAGTCCCCTAATCATCTTTGTTGCTCTTCTCTGTACTCTTTCTAGAGTCTCAACATCTTTGTTACATTGTGGCAATCAAAACTGGATGCAGTATTCCTAGTATGGCCTTACCAAGGCATTGTAAAGTGGAATTAACACTTCATGTGATCTTGATTAATGCAGCCTAGCACTGTGTTGGCTTTTTTGGCAGCTGCAGCACACTGCTGACTCATATTTAAGTGATTGTCCAAAAGTGATTTATTACATTATTAGTATATATTACAATTATATTGCAATTATAATTTGTTGCACAGTCAGAGAGATGATTGGACTGGATTTGATATTTTTGTCCACTTACTGAGTCCTTCCCAAAAACCTGTGATAGGCAGGTATTGTTAATGTAAGATGTAATCTGTTCCAAGTAAAGCATGATCCAAATTCTCATCTAATACTCTAATCTTTCCTCTGCGTTTTCTCTCCCATCGCTTCCCAGGAATCATTGAGCTGCTGAATTCAAAGCAGGTCTCTAGAGAGAAGGCAGAACCCATCACTGAGAATGACTCATAAATAAGGCTGTCTTTGTCCCTCCCTCCCTTTTTTGTGTTCACATCACAGAGACAGGCTGACATATGCATTCATGCACAGAGGAAGAGCACTGTTTATTTGCCTTTGTAGGTGTACCCACTGGCACAAACCAACCCTGCGTGGACGTGTATTTGCCAGCAGGCTGCCAGCTTCCTCTCAAGTTGAGTTAAAGCAACCTTGCCAGACCAGTGTTATTAATCCAGCTCCCAGCAACAATTATGTCATTATTAAGATTCTCTACTAATGGAAAACAGGTCCTCTGTGCGTGTGCGTGTGTGCGTCTGCTATGGAAGAATATCGTATGGATGCTGGTTACATATGTCCCACTGGGACAGAGAGCATTGCAGAGATTTTAAAAAACTGATATGGCCAATGCTACTCTTTTTGCAGATCCCATTGACCTGTGGCATTTTCAGTCTATTCTATTTTGCATTTATTTCTGTGCGCACCATAGCAGCGGTTGGATTGAGGAGAGACGCCTTGAGCACAAACCCTTGCCCAGACAGTAGACTTTGCCACTGAGTAAAGCTTTTGCTGCCTCTCTCTCTCCTGTTTTTCTTTCTTACTTGCAAAATGGGTAGTCCATCAACCTATCTCAGAAGACAGATGAGACAGATAATTGCAGACAGCTGATGCAAATAACAACTGTGAAATGAAACATTTGGCAAGGAGCAATGGTAGTTAATCCAAATCAAGTCTGCATGTGTCCACCACAGCTTTTGGAGGAAGGAGGGCAGTTTCTTGAGTTCCTGAAGAGAAGGTAGGATAACCATCTAATAAACAAATACATCTACCAAATGGGCTTAAAGAAGCTTGATTGGAAGATATTTGCTGAGAAATATACTAGAAAGGAATGGCTGGCTTCTGAGGGTCAACAAAGCCCAATTAAACTGTAAGGCACCAGCGCTCCTGATGTAGCATTCCCTTGATTGTAAATCAAGAAGAATCTTGCCAAATGAAGTAGATTTCAGGTTTTCTGCAGCAAAGAGCTCTTTTTATAGTTATACCTGATTCACCAGCTTCCCTAGGAAGTCTAGCCTTGGGAGAAATCAGCACATGAGGGCATGGTCTGGCTTTCAGGTTCTCCAGTTTCCCTCTGGAAGGAAATTCATTGAGGTAAAATATTCATTTCCCGAAGAATCCAGTTTGGCAAAGCTGCTTGTTATGATTGTCCAATGACTTTCCTTTTAATAAAAGGATTAAAGAAGAAGTAGACCAAAGGCGCCACAATCCAAATGCTTTAAAAAAAAACATTCCTTAAACACATACACACACACACACACACACACAAACCTCCTAACATAACAAATCAAGTGTGCTTAGAAAAGGGCTGGGGAGTGGGAAGGGGCAGAGTAAACAGACAAGGTGCTAATCTGTATGTCATTATGCAACGCTGTGGCTATCTCATGACAGCAAGGCCGTTCAACAGGGCTCCATTGTGTGGAGATAAAAATAAGGAAATCAGCATCCAAACTGGAGCTTGCAAAAGGGGAAAGCTTAGACCTTGCTTGAAGATGGAAAGTTTCCAAACTCCAGAAGAGCAGGTAGAAGAGGGGACTGGCCACCTTCTTGGCTCCACCCACACCTGGGCACAATCCCTTCTTGCTACACCTACAGAGGGAAAGCTATATATATGTATATGTCTGCATGGCCCCAACATTTGGACAATCCTTTTATATCTTTGGCCCTATGATTGCCAGTCCACCAGCTCCAGCCCAGCCATGAGGAAAGAAATTTGCACTGTTGTTTTTCTCCGAGCCGTCTTCACCGAGTTCTTGGCAACAATGATTTTTGTGTTCTTTGGTTTGGGCTCAGCCCTGAAGTGGCCATCAGCCTTGCCAAGCGTCCTACAGATTTCCCTGGCATTTGGCTTGGCAATTGGCACAATGGTACAGACCTTTGGTCACATCAGTGGGGGCCATATCAACCCAGCAGTGACCATCGCCTTCTTCGTTGGAAACCAGATCTCTTTCCTCCGGACGTTGTTTTACATTGTAGCTCAGCTGCTGGGGGCCATTGCTGGCGCAGGCATCCTTTACGGAGTGACCCCCACCAACGCCCGTGGTAATCTGGCAGCCAATGGGGTAAGTACCTCTCTCACAAGGCGGTGGAGGTCTAATAGTTTGTATGAGGAATTCTCAGGCAGGTCCATATTCTCCTAAGGGAGAATTTGCATCTCAGGGGAAAAGAAGTAGCAGCTGCTCTGTTCTTGGACACTGGGGGGAAAGCAGCGTTTCCATTCCCAGAGAGCAGGTGGTGGAACAGATGGAACGCAAGGGGGAAATGTTCTCTTATCCAGAACCCTAGACGTTCGCTAGCATGCATGGAGCTATTTACAAGGCAGAGCTCTTTGCAACTGTCCCCATATCCTAGGGGGACGAGTGAGTCCGTTTAAAAAGGAAAGCAAGAAATGCATTAACTCAATCAGTGCCATAGGTAAAAGGATCAGCAGGAACAGTGTAGAGAATCTACCCCTAGTTGTTGGTTGCTTATTAAAGATTCATTGTTTTTCCTTTTCAAAAACCTTTCCCTGTAATTTCACACTCGATGCAAATTTGTGTGTATTGGCTTGTGTGCTCTTGGAAAGGCATCAAAAGAAGGGTGCCTAGGATTTACATGCATGCACACAAGCATTACGCATACATATCCTTTACTATATTGTTCCTCCAAGCCTCCTAAAAAATAGCTTTTGATAAACAGGGTAATCATTTCTGGGTCTACGCAAGGAATGAGGGCTTTGAATAGAAAAGGACAGCCAGCTACAAACATGTAGAACAGGCCTATCTCAAGATCCCCGGAAAAGATCACAGGGCAGCATTAAATTCATTGAACCCAAGGTTTCATCATAACAAATTAGACAAACAAATCTGGGAAGCTTGTGAGAAATGTTATTAGAGTTGGACAAAAAGAAAAAGATACAGAAAACAGCATGGAGATAATATTTGAAAGACCGTGTAAGAGCAAATCTCAAGATTTGTATGTTCCTTGGTGACTGGAGGGACACATCTATGTTTTCTTTGCAGCAAAATAGACGTAGTTTGACATTGTCATAAACCTCCCTTATCATTAAATGCAAGTGGGAGTTTCAAGTCCCATTTCTAAGAATTATAAGTAGAATTCAAGACTGGTTCTGTTCAGAATTATGCTATGATTTCAGATTATGGACAATGTGCCCTCATGCCATGCTTTCCCCAAGGACCACTTTTTAAAAGATTTTTTTAATCCTGCCTTTATTATTTTTGTAAATAATTCAAGGTGGCAAACATGCCTAGTATATCTTCCTTCTCCTATTTTCTCCACAACAACAGCCCTGTGAGGTGATTTGGGCTAAGAGAGTGTGACTAGCCCAAAGTCACCCAGCCAGTTGTCATGTTAAAGGCAAAATTAGGACTTGGTTTCTAGACTGGTGCCTTAACTAGGTCAAACTGGCTTTTATTTCTCACCTTGTTTCTCACTTTTATTTCTCCATCACATCTTACTTCATCAATGCTTATTATCACAATGATTTAGATATTGCATCAATTATCTAATTACGGCTATTAGACGAAAAACTTAAAGGGAGACAATTGAGAGCCTCTTGCCCCATCAAAGCTTTCTATTTGCATTATGACCCCAACTAAAGTAAGTGTTGCCTTAGGGCAGTGGTTCTCAACCTTTTTAATGCCGCGACCCCAACCGGTCGTAAGTCAAGGACTAAACCGGTCGTAAGTCAAGGACTAAACCGGTCATAAGTCGAGGACTAAACCGGTCGTAAGTTGAGGACTACCCAACCGGTCGTAAGTCGAGGACTTTCCCTGCCCAGGAGCGCCACGCATGCGTGGTTCCGCCCCCTGCGCCTGCCGAGGCGTAGCTGGCAAGCGGCAGAGACGGAGTAGGCCGACCACCAGCTGGCCCAGCCCAAGGAAGGTAAGGTACCTGCCGGAAAAGGGGAAAAAATGGACAAAAAAAATGGCGGACAGCCTTGCTTGGCGACCCCCATGAAATGGCCGATCGACCCCAAATGGGGTCCCGACCCACAGGTTGAGAACCACTGCCTTAGGGGAATATATATATATAATTTAAAATGAAGTGTATTAGCAGCAGTCTTTTCTAAATGAAATATAACAGATTCTTGCATTAAGTATGATATCAGGACCCATTTAAAGGTCAAGGTACCTCCAACTGAGGCTACCTAAAAGAAACTTTCAATCTATTCCAAATTACTGAACTCTCTCTTATCTTTTCTTCTGTTATCTTCAACAAGCCTCCGAGGTTTTAAAGGCCATTTCACATAGATACAACATTATCCAAAGGAAAATATTCCAGATGGGATCAGCTGAGATGAGGCTTAATTTCTGTGACCAAGACACAATATGAAAGAGATTTTAAGAAATCAGGGTTGAACTCCTTAACACCTAAAGAACCATGCTCTTATTTTTTTTGCAGAGCTTTTTAAGATTCTTAGTTTGCTCTTTTGGGAAGGTGCCTCTAATCTCATGCCTCTGCTGAAACTTAGTACCGGTAAATGGAATTGTTTATTTGAGATTAAGGAACACACCCCCAGTGACACAAGTAAAGCCATTGTACACAGTTAATTGCAGATCACATTTCAAAACATTTAAACCAAAAGGCAGTCAGGAAGACCTGTTCCACAGCTGAACACTCACAATTCTTCTTGATTTTTAGCAGAACTGACTTCCTGACAAGAACATACAAGATTAAAGTCTAAACCTGTGTCCTTTTTCTTCTAACAGCTTAGCAACAACACAACAGCAGGTCAGGCTGTGGTAGTGGAGATTATCCTGACTTTCCAGCTTGTCTTCTGCATTTTTGCCTCAACTGACAACCGTCGAAATGACAATGTGGGATCCCCATCTCTGTCCATTGGACTGTCAGTCACCCTCGGCCATCTAGTGGGGGTAAGTGTTGTTCGTGCTCATTGTGCAAAAGCCGAAGAAAGGAGCAAATGGAGGGAGTGTGCTACTTCAACTCATCACTGCCTCTCTTGGCTGGTAACCACCCTCAGATCATAAGGTGCTATCACTATTACAGTCTGTGTGTACTCATGTGCAAGCAGCGTATGTATGAACTCCAGGGGAGCAAGGCATCTGTAGCTATATATTTTTCCTGGGCAGTTGATCTTTAGGAATATGGGGATTTTCAGAGAATAGGATAACTTCTTGGGCAACTTCTTCCCAATTCTAAAGCACAAAATTTCAAAACAAAGTTTTAGGATCTACCATAGGCACCATAGACCAGGCATTTCCAATCCACAGCCCATAGGCCACATACAACCCTGGACAACTAGTAATGTAGCCCCACAAGGTATAATAAAAATATTTTAAAAATTTTTTTTATTAATACATGTAAACTGTGTTATATAATTAATATGCTGCCCAAGACAATTCCTCTTCACTCAATGCAGCCCAGCCCAGCCAAAATGTTGGACACACATGTTGTAGACAGAAGCTTTTGTGAGTGATGTAATTAGCAGAATTCATAACACTCAATCCTCCCAATCCATATGGTGCCTGTGTTGAACTCCATGCTGGCTGTCTTTTCTCCAAACATCAGCACAGATGGTAAAGTCTCTGTAACATCAAGCCACAGATGGAAGTGCCAAAATCCCTCTTAAATAATAAATCTTCCTTGCTGTGTATTGCCTGATCTTTCCTGTTCACTGTGACTGGTGCTGGGAGCTAAATCTTTTGGAGGCCCTTTAGTGATTGGCCGCTGTGATCCAGAAAACCAGGCTTCCCATAATGTATGGCAAGAGGAATGCTAGCTGAATGACAATTGGCAGGTGGTCTTTCAGGGAAGGGAGTAGGCAGATTGTTAGAAAAGTCTACCTTGAAGTGGCAAGAGAAGTCTATATGGTTAATTTACTTTGTTTTTCTCTTGTACAGATCTATTTTACTGGCTGCTCTATGAATCCTGCCAGGTCTTTGGGACCTGCAGTCGTCATGAAGAGATTTACCTCTGCTCATTGGGTAAGAAGTGGATTTATCATAGTGGCCTAGCCAATGGTGGGATTCAAATATGTGAACAACTGGTTCTCTGTGTGGATGCTGCTTCCGGAAGTCCATTCTGGGCCTGGGCAACAAAAAAGTAGCTACCAGTTCTACCAAAGTGGTGCGAACCGGCTGAATCTCACCACTGGACTTAGCTCATAGTAATCAAAATGAAATTGATTGAACTATATCCTTAATGGCAGCTTTCTAGAAGAGATGACGTAAAACTGGATAGGATAATACAGTACCGAAGAAAATAGAAAGAACAACCAAGATATTATAATAAGTTAGAAAAGTGGGCTGAAAGTGGAACTTAACATAGGTAAATGCAAAGATCTTCCTTAAAAAGTAATTAAACTCACAGGTATAGCATGGGTAATACTTACATAATAATAATAATAATAATAATAATAATAATAATAATAATAATAATAATAATAATAATAATAATAATAATAATAATATAGTAAAGTTGGAAGGGACCTTGGAGGTCATCTAGTCCAACCCCCTGCTCAGGCAGGAAACTCTATACCTGGAACTTAATATAGGCAAATGCAAAAATCTTCCTTAAAAAGTAATTAAACTCACAGGTATAGCATGGGTAATACTTACCTTGATAACATTATATATGAAAAGGACCTTGAAATTGTAGTTTATCCAAGTGAGGGTTGGTCAACAGAAATACAGTTTCCAAATCATAAGAAATGTATTCTTGCACTAAGCAGAAACGGGGTTGGACTTGACCTATGGTCTTCTCCAGATCAGTAACATATATAACCCCAGAAATATTTCAAAAAATGTATAGCATTATTCATGTCGGCTTTGCAACCATGTTGAGCCAGAAATTCCACAATGTTCATAACAGAACAGGATTTCTCTGTCTCTAGTCCCACACGCTCATATCTCAATTGGTTCTTAAAATGTGAGCTGAAAAAACTACGAAATGCAGAAACCCATGAAAACTAACTAACCATGAGAAGGTCTGAAACATTATTTCATTCCTTGGAAACTGTTTTTGTTTGTTTGTCTTTGTCTTTCCAAAAGAACCTTCAAATTAGTGTAATTTCATAAGAATCTGAAGACAATCAAGGAATACATCACTGCCCGGATATATTTTATACTAACTTCTGAAAAGTCTCAGAGATTTTGCACAAGGAGAAACAATTCATTTTTTTTTTAAATTCAGAGGCATTATGAACTAGGCTGCATTGCATAATACACTATGTCAAAACAAAACATAATGTGCTATTTCAAAAGAAATTTTATTATGTCTTAACTCACTCCTTATATCTTAACTCACTCAGAATATCATATTATATTCTGATTCACACAACCTGTTAAAATAATAGCTAGCCTTTCAGAACCTACCAAACCTACTCAGTCCCATTTAACCAAGACTGTTGTGTTGTGCAAACCCACCAATAACTCTATTAACTGCACTAACTGGCTTAATTGGGGAAATCTGAAAGTCTTTAACTAATTCCTTGTATTGGTTTCTCAGGTGTTCTGGGTTGGACCCATTTCTGGAGCCATTCTAGCTTCTGTGTTGTACAACTACGTGCTGCTTCCTCACCCAATGAATATGTCTGAAAGGGTGGCCATCATCAAAGGTACTTACGAGTCAGAGGAAGAGTGGGAAGAGAAAGAGAAAAGCATGGAAATGTCTTCTCCATAAACCAAAGCAATCAGAAGGAGAGGGAGAGAAGGAACCTGATGGCTTGCATGACAATAAACACTCACTGTATACCTTGTAAGCCCAAGAAACTTTCCCCAGTGCCCAGGACCTGAAGAGGGAATGGAAAGAGCTTACTTGCCTAAAATAACTGTCTTGAACCCGTGGTTGCATGTATGTTGAGTGCATGAGAAAACGTGGCTCATTCAAACAGCAAAACTAGACAAGGACAGTACCTTAACCTCCTGGGGCTGTAAAAACCTGGATGTGCTCCAGGACCATTCTATCCACATTTCTATTTTTTACAACAGGGCACAGTCTTGTCATTTGTTTAGATATTGACATTTGACTTCATGGCAGAAGTCCAGAATTTGTCATTACAGGTTTATTGATATGCTCCAGGCTCGGGGGGGGGGGGCACAGTGGCTTGAGCTCATCTCCTTTATGCACCAATATTTGTCACTTGTTTTGGGAAATGGGTAGGATGTCTTTAATCTTAATATTTAAGACAGCCTAAATATGGAGTGAAACTCTGAGATGAGGGCAGTTATGGTTGGCTTGTGAAAGAAGGAAAAACTGACAGCAGCTTTGCACTGAAACCTATGAGGATTTGTTGGAGGTCCCACAAAGGCAAATCTTTTGAAAAGAAGGTTCTGCTTTTAGATCCATAAATGGCCTTCTTTTTACGAAGTGTCAGGGAAAGCAAGTTTCCTCAGGAACTGCCTGCAGCCATTCCCTTCCTAAAGTGATTTCAGGGCTCAAAGGAAATACAGTACATCAAAGTTCCTTGTTTTGGCTTAATTTCCATCTTACATAGCTTCCAAGAAGCAACAGAGAGAAATTCTTTGAGGACTATTCAGTAAAGCTCAGTCTGTCTCCCGAAGCCATTTAGGTTATTCTGACTCAGTTCTTCCACGTTTCTGAGGCTGAGAGAAAGGGAGTGGAGAGTGAAGGACGGTTGCCATCATTTGTGCTGCTTAGAACAAGTCAACAGGACAGGTTAGGGGAGGAGAAGTGCAGTTAATTGGTAGAAATGGGACCAGGAGCAGAGCTAATAGCAGTAGGTGGAAGTTGGCTCTAGTAGCTGACAACAACTTATGCTTGGGTTCCAGATACAGAGAGAGAAGCAGCACAGCAAGGTGCAGCCTCACAGGAGTGCAGTGCACTCATAACACCCAATGAATCACTCTCCCTTTCCTGCCTCAGGGCAACTCCAAATGAATTCCCCCCCCAAAGAATGAGGATGTATGTAAAATAAATATAGGGACATGCAATTTTAGACAGAATACTCCCCTAACATGAGAAAGATGCAATATTTCTTAGCATTCTGGGGAAAGATCAGGACCAGATGACCTCCATTTGGACAAAAAAAATTATCAGCTCCAAATTGGTCTCCAGTCAAGCTTAGGAAAGCCTGATTGATGTATAGGGCAGGGGAGGACTCATTCTCCACTTAAATATCTTAAATAAACTAATTTGACATGCAGAGAAAAACAACTTTATCTGGCATGCCAGCAGACCAAGAGAAAGTTCCTTGAGTGACAACAGCCATGGTTCAAGAGAATGTAATGAAAGGCCAAGCCAAAAGTTGAATTTTAAGAAAACCTACCTTTTATGAAGGGAAAAAGCCCTCATTCTCCACATAAAAGTCTGAAACAAATGTTACACATCTGTCTGCTTTATAACTTAACTTTGGAGGGAACAGGCTATGCCCAACTGTTATTTTTCTGCAAAAGAAGAATGTGTTTTGCTTGGCTTGGTTATTATTTGTGTTTCTGTAATATATTGTATTATTTATCTATCTATATAAATAAAAATGTAAATGTTTGTTTGTTCAAAATCTTAAATCTCCGAAAGTTCTTCACCAGTTACTTTGAAATTTTGACACAACGTTGCATTCGAATACGCACGTGTTTTTATATACCTATATTATATAGATGTCACACCTGTGACAGGTAAAAACATGTTTTTTTAAAAAACAGCGCCATCTGTTGGACGTAAAAGCAACACATGCTTTTACCAGACTGAGCCACAGCAACGCGTGGCTGGGTACAGCTAGTTATCAATAAAAAAGAAAGGCTGTGTATAACGACCTTTGGCTGAAAGTGTGTGAGATGTAAGGAACAGCAATGGAGGAAAAGGGGCAAGGAAGTGAAGATGACAGCACAGCTGCACAGTGGAAAGGCCACCCTCTTTGTAAATGTATGCCATGTCAATTCATACATAGAAAAGACTCACTCACACTTAATGCAACCACCATATTGATTCTTTTGACCCCTCCTCCAAGGATATCTCTGATGAGCCATCTACTTCAATTGTGAGAGACAGTAACTTAAAAGGTTTACATAAAAAAGCTGGTTACCTCAGGGAGCCAAATGGAGGCCCAAAGCCAACTGAAATGTTTAGTTTTCTCCTTGACTGATCTGAATTCACTTCACTCCACTCAAATTCACCCTATCCAAACCGGAAGAACATCTTGGAGACCACAGTAGTTTCACCCTTTACATTTATATGTCTAATCCCACCACCCAATTTATGCACTGGCCACATCACCCATCAATCAGAATTTCTGGTGATGGTGGAGAAACAACTTCACTTTTGATGGAGGAGCTCCTAAGCAGATGCTGTCTGTGAAACCAGAATGTAAGCTGCAATGCTAGCTTACCTCAGCATGCCCTGACTTTTCTTTAAGTTTACGAAGAAACAGGAAAAAGTGCTGCTTTGTTGCTTTCCATTTTTGCTGCTCCCAGGCAAAATGGCAGAGCAAAAGAAAACATTGACTGCTGGAAGATTGGCAGGGTGGGAGGGGTCCCCAAGCTATGGCACAAGCCAGGCACTTTTCCAAGGCAGCCAGGACTAGTGGTGCCACTGGGCTTCCAGCGATAGCCAACTTAGGTGTACAAGGCTGCTAGCATAATTTTCTAGTGATATGTTGACTGCCTTGAGTAGTTTGTAAAAATAATGATTACAGGATACAAACAAACAAAAATTGGTGTGACATGGCAGCCATGACTTGTATGGCAGTCTTTAGTTTCCTGTAATATTTTATTCTTATGAGGACAATTAAAGCAGGCATAAGAGAGCTGTTAATATAAATGAGAAAAATGATATGCACAACAAAACCAACTGAGGTAATGCTGATCACCCCAGCTGATCTGATATTGTAAATTACTGTCTTTCTGTTGTAAATTACTTCAGTCAAATCCTCTTCCTTTGTAGCAAATTTGTGAATAACACCAGCTCAGGGGAAGGATATAGGGGGTGGTTTATGAGTCTCACAGAAAGCCTAAGGGGCAGAGTAAGCAATCTGGCATTCTGATATGGCTAAACTATAACTCTTGCTGTGGTTTACAATTGCTCATGCTTTGTAGATATGTTCAGAGTTGTAATTCTGCATACCATTGGATACCTACTGCTTTTATCTGTCTTCAGGCAGGTTTAGTAATACCGCAGGTTTAGCTGAGATTATTTCTCTTTTGCAGGAGAACCCATTTTCGATGCAGCTGCTGCCAAGTACAACCAGGAAGCTGACCCCACCTGTTAAATCCAAGAGGAGGTGCATCAGCTTGGGAAAAAAACAATTGAGATCTAGAATAGATGAATATTTTAAGAACTGTTTCAACACATGGTGTAAACCTTGGCTGAGCCACCCTCTGTTTTGGGGTTTAGAAATAAGCTTTTCAGATAGGTGAGGAAATTAACACTTCTTCCTTTAGAAACTAATCACCAAAGAATGTGTTGATTTTTTAGAAGAAATCTGTTCAAAAACTGTTGAGGTTTAACATGAGCTTTTGACTCATTAATTACCTCTGTTCAGGCCATCTCTGAAATGTATATAATGCAGTATTCAGAGGAGGCCTAGAAAGGAAAATTTGGCACTAAGTTATTGGTGAAAGAGCAAGCAATAATGGGCACTTCCAGACAAGATTGCTCCTAACCTTTAGAAAGGAGTCTGAAGCCCACCTGCAGGAGTCCTCGCTTCTGCACTTCACTTCTGCAAGCACAAAAAACATGATAAGTCAGTCAAAGCTCAGGCCCAATAGAAGTTTGCAAAAAATGCAGCCCTACCTATTTTCTGCTCCCTGAGCAACTGCAAATCCCAGAGCAATAAAATTAAGGTGACCAACCATCCTCCTTTAGGGAGGACAGTCCTCCTTTTGTAAGTTCTGTCCTCCCTCAAAAAGTGTCCTCCTACATGTCCTCCTTTTTGATATTTGAAGACTAATCTGCAGGGCTTTTTTTCCCTCATAGAACGCTCAGAACGGCGTTCCGGCACCTTTTTTTGATGAGGTTTTTTTTCAACTTTTGCATGAGCTGTGCTACTCCCACTATTGGCTTTCGAAAGCCAATAGGAATTGCTGCTGAGCGCGCCAAAACACCAGGCCGGCAAACTTTGCACATGCAAGTTGTCTGTATTATTGTTGCAATAATAATAATAATAATAATGATAAAGTTGGAAGGGACCTTAGAGGTCATCTAGTCCAACCCCCTGCTCAGGCAGGAAACCCTATACCATTTCGGACAAATGGCTATCCAGTCTCTTCTTAAAAACTTCCAGTGTTGGAGCATTCACCGCTTCTGGAGGCAGGTAGTTCCACTGGTTAATTGTTCTAACTGTCAGGAAGTTTCTCCTTAGTTCTAGGTTGCTTCTCTCCTTGATGAGTTTCCATCCGTTGCTTCTTGTCCTGCCTTCAGGCGCCTTGGAGAAGAGCTTGACTCCCCTCTTCTTTGGGGCAGCCCCTGAGATACTGGAAGACTGCTATCATGTCCCCCCTCGTCCTTCTCTTCATTAAACTAGACATACCCAATTCCAGCAACCGTTCCTCATATGTTTTAGCCTCCAGTCCCCTGATCATCTTTGTTGCTCTTCTCTGCACTCTTTCTAGAGTCTCAACATCTTTTTTACATCGTGGTGACCAAAACTGGATGCCGTATTCCAAGTGTGGCCTTACCAAGGCATTGTTTCTTTTATTTACGATATTTTTTTCTTCAATTTATTTGTGTCCTCCTTTTCATTGTAAAAAAGTTGGTCACCTTAATAAAATGTTCTGTCAGCCTTGCAAAGTAATCCAGGCAAGAAACACACACAAACTCTTCGATTAAAGTTGTATGTATAACAGCTAAGAGGAAAAGCGGAAGCCACCTGTCTCTCTGTAATA